AGAAAGCAAATGTTTTGAGAATGATGATGGCAACAAATGTACAAATGTGCTTGACACAATGGATGGATGTATGGATTGTGATAAGAGTTGTATGAGTTCCCAATAAAATTATTTTTAAAAAAAAGAGAGTCTCAGAAACTCACAGGGGAAGTTCTACCCTGTCCTACAAATGTGCTTGACACAATGGATGGATGTATGGATTGTGATAAGAGTTGTATGAGTTCCCAATAAAATTATTTTTAAAAAAAAGAGAGAGTCTCAGAAACTCACAGGGGAAGTTCTACCCTGTCCTACAAGGGTCACTATGAATCAATATTGACTTGATGGCAGTGAGTGTAGTTTTTGGGCTTTTTAAAAAGCCATTACCCTAAATCTTGGTTCAGTTGTAATAATGCATTAGCTATCCTTCCCAACTGACATTTTAATAAACATACCTCATTTTCATCGAAGTTGCAACTAATAATGAATGAAACTGGCTTAAAGACTGCGCCTTTCAAAAGCAAAAAGTGTCCCTACTTTTGGCTTACATTAATACATTAGTCATGGTATTCTCTAAGACCAACCTGTCACTAAGTTATGAATTCACCTAACTGCTGTCATCTTATCATATCCCCATTATGTCCACAAGTGAGTTACCAGAGAGCCCTTAAAATCAGGATATTACCTTTATCTAATAATATAGCAGTAAAAAGAAAAGATTAATCACCATTTTCTAACTCTACATATTTAGTTTAATAATCTTCACTACAAGTTTTACAAGAAATTCTTTGATTTGCTACTTTTAGAATTAGCCTTTTTATTTTATAATTCTGCCCATTTCTACTTACAAAGACACAAAATGTTATTTTAAAACATGTATCTCAAAAAAAACAACATGTATCTCATTTTATGATAGTTAACCTTAAAGCTTCTACATTTTCACAGACTTCTGAAGTCTCTAAATATTATTTCTGATATGACTATAATTTTAATTTCAATCTTGATTCCCTCTACATTGTCCAAGTCTTTCTTTGCTATTTGAAAAAATGAAAATAATTTTTATTAGAATTTTTGTGATATATTATATTACCTACAAATTCATGAATTCAACTATAAGAATTACATAGACCTAGATGGAGGGTATGTTGAAAAACAATAGGTTCACATTTTTATATTTGTGCTTGATAAAGGTTTCTATGATTTTGTAGCAATACTTTTTTACTTATCTACACTAACAGTTTATCCAAACTGTGACTGATAAATTTAAATTTCATCTTATGAGATAGTTGATGACCAAAACTGTATGTGGAAACATTCAGAGTCCAGTGGAAAGATAATATGCCCTAGTAAATATTTACTATCACTGAAATAACCTGCTTCCTATATTAAATATAAACCATTAAAAGAAGCAATAAAAGAAAGCCCATGGCCCTCAAGAATACATATAATTTCAATTCTTCTATCCTTTAGTCTCACCTGAAAAGTGCATATACCAGGGTAGCAATCAAAGCGAAACTGACCACAACTGCCACAAGTACTTGGTCACTTACTCCTTCTATAACTGAATCATCATCCAGTTTCAGACTTTGAACTTCACCTTGATATTTGGCCATTCCAAGTCTAAAAGGTGAAAAACAGATTAAAGTTACAAATGGCAATGAAAATTACATACACTAATAAAAGCAATATATGCATAACTGGATTGTAGTATACTATTGATAGCATTCATTTATTTGTTTTTCCCTCTTATTTACTTTTCAACCCTTTGGTTACCTGTTGGGCTGCTAGCTACAGTACAAGGTCAGCACTTTGAAACCACCAGCCCACCAGGGGAGTATGATGAAGCTTTCTACCAATAGCACCCTGAGTAGGTTGCATTTAAATACAACTCTAGCAAGTATCCCCCATTTAACGAGGTTTTTAAACAATTCTATAAGTTATTTTAGGAAGTACAGAATTCTACTCTTTTAAGGAAAATGATCTCGAATTTGTCCCCCACTTAATATTTTTCATTTAATAAGATAATCTTCTTGTCCAAATGCTTCTCTTATTCCTGAATACCTCATAAATTCTCCACCTAGATAAATCAGAAACCTCTTCTCCCTCCTAGCATTATGTATTTACCATGTGGAGATGTATCTTATAGACCTGCCATAGCTTCCCTACTAAACTTCTTTGAGAAAAGGAAATCTATTGTCTTCTTTGTAAATACTTCTATATTTATGTTGTTAGATTGAGTTGGCTTGAATTGAAAGCAACCTTATGCAAAACAGAATGAAACACTGCCCAGAAGTGTTCCAACCTTACAATTGTTACGTTTGAGCCCATTGAACCAATCGATCTCATTAAGGGTCGTCTTCTTTTTTGCTGGTCCTGTTTTACCAAGCATAATGTTCTTTACCAGTGTGTTAGTCTGGGTGGACTAGAGAAACAAATCCAGGGAGACTCATGTGTGTAAGAGAGAACTTTATATCAAAGAGCAATTGTACATTAAGGAAACTTCCCAGCCCAGTCCAGATCAAATCCCTAAGTCCGATATTTCCCCTATGTCAATACTAGTCCATAAACTCCTCTTTAGACTCACACAGCCATGCAATAATGCTGAATCCAGGAAGATCACAGGCCAGTGGGTGGAAAGTCTTGTGGATTCATTGGTGGTGGAAGCATCTCAGTGCTGGAGTGGGTCTCCGCATGGTTCCTTCAGCTCCAGGGCTCTGACTCCATCAGCGTAGCTCCATGTGGCTTGTCATCAGGAATACAAAGCGGAGAGTTGGTGTGGCCTCCTTATATTCACTGCCCCTCCAAAATGAAATCATCAAGCTGCGACCTGACAGGCTAGACTCCATTCCTTCCTCAAGTTGATAGTAGATTATGTAACTGCTACAACCAGGGACGGGGACTGGTCTCTCTTGATAGCATGCTCAAAGTACATTAGAAGTCTCATCGCCCTTGTTTCTAATGAGCATTCTGGCCATTTCCTTCAAGATAGATTTGTTTGTACTCTGGCAGTCCATGATACTTCCAATATTCATCAACACCATAATTCAAATGTATCATTCTTTATTTCATTTACTTATTGCCTAGCTTTCATCTGAATGTAAATATAGGGCAACTGAAAATACCATGGCATGGGTCAAGTGTACCTTAGTCCCCAGGTGACTTCTTTGTTCTTTATACTTCACAGAGTTTGTGCAGCAGACGTACTCAATGCAATATTCGATTTCTTGACTGCTACTTGTATTTGTGGAACTGAGCAAAATGAAATCCTCGACAACATCAATCCTTTTTTCCGTTTATTATAATGTTGCCTTCTGGCCCAATTGTGAGGATTTTAGTTTTCTTTTCACCGAGTTGTAATCCACACCGAAGGAAGTAGTCTTTTATCTTAATCAGTAAATGCTTCTAGTTTGCATTTTTTGCAAGCAAAGTTTTGTCATCTGCATACTGAAGGCTGCTATTAAGTTTTCCTCCAATCTTGATGCTGCATCTCTTCATCTAATCCAGTTTCTTAGATTTATCTTCTTCAGCATAGACTGAATAACTATGGTGAAGAGATATACCTTCTTGACTTTAAACTGTGCAGTAGTCCCTTGTTCTAACAATTGCCCTGGGTGTGTATATAGGTTTCACATAAATAAATAAAACAAAGTGCTCTAGAATTTTCATTCTTCATGATGTGATCTCTACTTTGTTCTGACACACGTGATTGAATGCATTTGAATAGTCAATAAAACATAAGTAAACATCTTTCTTATATTCTCTGCTTTCTGCCAAGATCCACTTAATGTCAGTAATGATAACCCTCATGTGACATCATCTGAATCCAGCTTGAATTTCTGGCAGCTCCATGATGTTGTGCTGCTCCAGCTAGCTGTTCTTGAACTATTCTCAATAATATTTTACTTGCCTATGATATTAATGATATTGTTAGATGATTTATGCATTCTATTGGGTCATCTTTCTTTGTAGTAGGTACAAATATGGATCTCTCCCAGTTAGTTGACCAGGTAGCTATCTTGCAAATTATCTGGAAGAGATTGGTGAGTGCTTCCAGTGCTACATCGGTTTCTTGACATATTTGAATCCCTTAGTTTCAGTGGTGGTGGTGGTGGTGGTAGTAGTGTGTCATGAAGTCTGGTTTAGTCTGGGTATTTTAAAGAAACAAATCCACAGAAACTCATGTATAAGAGAGAGTTTTATATAAAGGTTAAGTGCACATCAAGAAAACATCCCAAACCAGTGCTGTCCAAGCCCACAAGTCCAACATTAGCCTTTATGTCCAACACCAATCCACAAAGTCTTCCTCCATCTCACAAAACACACCCTATGACACCAACTGCAGGAGGAAAGCCAAATCAGTAAACATGTAAGCATCTCAGCACTGGCAGGGGTCTCCACATGGCTGCTCTAGCACCCAGGGCTGCATCAGGGTAGGTCCATGGGGATTTTCCTTGGGGATGTCTTGCAGGAAATGAGCCATGCCAGCTGAAGCAGGGAACTGGCTAAGGCAGCTGTACCCTGGTCTGACCGTGACAAAACAAGAGACCTGAGAACTAGAAAGGCGAGGCTCACCCAGCCATTTATCGCTCCACCCTTCAATTAACCCCACATGTGTTTATGGGCCAGGTTGGCTCAGTAAACTTTAACTATATCAAAGTCGGTTTTGACTCATGGTGATACCCTATACAAAATGAAACACTGCCTGCCCAGCTGTCCTCACACTGTTCTTAGGTTTGAGCTCAATGCCAGGCACCAACTGTGGAGCAGATTAGTAATGGCTCATATGCAAGTTCAGGTTTAAGTCGAAGAAAATTAAAACAATTTAATAAGAGCCAAAATATATCCAGGAGCATCTCCCACCTGAGTTTAGAGAACATTTCGAGAACATATTTGACACAATGAACACTAATGACAAAAGACCTGACTGACTGGGATACTATCAAAAACATCCTACACAAATAAAGCAAAAGATTATTTAAAAAGACAAAGAAAGTTCAAAGTAGATATTCGAAGAGACTCTGAAACTTACTGTTGAACATAAAGTAGCCTAAAGTAGATGGAAGAAGTGATACAGTAAAAGAGCTGACTAGAAAATGTCAGAGGGCAGTTCGTGAAGACATAATATCATAATGAAATGCACAAAGACCTGGAATTAGAAAGCCAAAAAGTAAGAACACACTCAGGGTCCTCAAGCTGCAAGAAATGATGGAAAAAATCCTAGGCCTCAAATTGCAATACTGAGGGATTTTGTGGGCAAACTATTAAATGACATAGAAGGCATCATTAAAAGAAGATGGAAGGATTACAAAGAGTTAGTGTACTAAAAAGAACTAGCTGATATTCAGTCATTTTAAGAGCTCATACATGTTCAAGAATAGATCATACTGAAGGAGAAAATTGAGTTGCACTGAGGGCTAAGTCAGGTTTCTGGAGTTGAAGGACTAGCAACTGAAATGTTTCAACTAGCTGATGAAGTGCCGGAAGCACTTACTAGCCTCTTCCAACAAATTTGGAAGACATCTATCTCTTCAACCAACTGGAAGAGATCCCTATTTGTACCCATTACAAAGAAAGATGACCGAACAGAATTCAGACATTACTTAACATCATTCATGTCACAATTCATTAAAAATAATTCAAAAAATGATGGTAGCAGTATAGCATAAGGAGTAGCAGGAATTCAATCTGGATTCAGATGGGGATGTGTCACAAGGGTTATCAATGCTGACATTAGATGGATCTTGGCAGAAAACAGAGCATACCAGAAAGATGCTCATTTATGTTTTACTGCCTATGCAAGACACTCAACTGTGTGAGTCATAATAAACTACAGATCGCATTGCGAAGAATGAGAATTTCAGAGTACTTTACTGTGCTTATGTGGGACTTGTACACAGACCAAGGGGCATTTGTTTAACCAGAACAAGGGGATGTTGCATGGTTTAAAATCAAGAAAGATGTGTGTTGGGGTTGTATATCTTCACTATATTCAATCTGTTTCCTGAGCAAATAATCCAAGAACTGAGCTATATGAAAAAGGAGGGGCCAACAAGATTGGAGGAAGGTTATTTACAGATGACACAACCTTGCTTGCTAAAAGTGAAGAGGGCTTAAAATGCTTCATCACCACTTGCTGATGAAGCTCAGACTGCAGTCTTCAGTATGAACTGCAACTAACATAAAAATCAAATCCTCACAATTGGACCAATAGACAACATCATGATAAACAGAGAAATGACTGAAGTTGTAAAGGATTCAACTTGCTTGGATCCACAATCAATATTCACTGTAGCAACAGTCAAGAAATCAAATAATGTACTGCACTGGGCAAAACTGCAGAAGAAGACGTCTCTGACTATGGTGGAGTATCTGACGGAAGCCACGGTACTTTCAACAGCCTCGTGTGCACATGAACACTGGGCAATGAATGAGTGCCTGGAGAAGACTGATGCATGTGAATTACAGTGTTGGCCAAGAACAGTGCAAGTGTAATGGACTCACAAGAAGAAGCCGTCTGTCCTGGACACAGTCAGAATGCTCTTCAGAAGCAAGATCGTGAGTCTCACGTACCTTGGACACAACAGGAGAGACCAGTTCTGGAAAAGGATAGCACACTTTGTAGATGGTCAGCAAAATGAGAAAGACCCACATAGACAAAGCTTCCAGTGATTCTACTGATTACAGTCCAGCGATGTGAACAGCCTTGTTACAAGACAGAGTATTATAAAGTTAATAGGGCAAATGTAGTTAGGTTAAAATCTATCATCTTATCATTTTATCTCCCATTTGACCCCTTTTAAAGTTGTTTCCATTTATAATATTTTTTGCTTTATTTTCAATTGAGCTTTTTCTCTGTTTTGTCATCGTTGGCTTTGTTTGTTTGCTTCCTGTTTGAGTTTTGTATGATTTTCTGCATATGAAATCTGGGATAGTTAAATCTACAGAGACAGTAACTGGATTAACAAGTGTCTAGGCATCTAGCTGAGAAGCAACAAAGCCCACATGGAAGAAGCACACCAGCCTGTGGGATCATGAGGTGTGATCATGGGATCAGGTATCAGGCATCAAAGACCCAGAAAAAAAAATCATATCAATCTCAATGATGGGGAGGGGGAGTGGAGACCCAAAGCCCATCTGTAGACAAATGGACATCCCTTCACAGAAGGGTCACAAGGAAAAGATGAGCAAGACAGGATGCAGTATAGCATGACAAAACATACAACTTTCCTCTAGCTCTTTAATTCTCCACACACACACACTATCATGATCCCAATCGTACCTTACAAATCTGGCTAGACTAGAGCATGTACACTGCTACAAATCAGAGCTGGAAACACAGGGAATCCAGGACAGATAAACCCGTCAGGTCCAATAATGAGAGTAGCAATACCAGGAGCGTAGGGGGAAGGTGGGGAGAGAAAGGGGGAATTGATCACAATGATCGACATATAACCCCCTCCCAGGGGGACAAACAACAGAAAAGTGGGTGAAGGGAGACAATGGTCGGAGTAAGACATGAAAAAAATAATAGTTTATAAATTGTCAAGGGTTCATGAGGGAGGGAAAGTGGGAGAAGGGGGAAAATGAGCTGATACCAAGGGCTCAAGTAGAAAGAAAATCTGTTGAAAATGACAATGGCAACATATGTACAAATGTGCTTGACACATGGATGGATGTATGGATTGTGATGAGTTATAAGATCCCTCCAATAAAATGATTTAACAAAAATAGTATTGGCGAGATACACTTGACAGTAAAAGAACTGAAATCAGCTAATTTTTAATACTGAAAATGCACCTTTTTCTATTTAACTCAGCAGTTCTCAATCTGTGTTTCGCGACTCCTTTGGGGGTGGAACGACCCTTTCACAGGGGTTGCCTGATTCATAACAGTAGCAAAATTACAGTTATGAAGTAGCAACAAAAATAATTTTATGACTGGGGGGTCACCACAACATGAGGAACTGTATTAAAGGGCCGCAGCATTAGGAAGATTGAGAAGCACTAATTTAACTGAATTTGTCACTGTTTTATTATTACCTATAATAAAGGTTTGATCAAATACTTAAAAAAAATACGTAGGAGCCCTGGTGGTTGGTATAGAAGTTATATATTGGGCAGCGATCCGCGGAGTTGACAATTCGAATCCACCAGCAGCTCTGCAGGAGAAAGACTGGGCTTTCTACTCCTGTGAACAGTTACAGTCTTGGAAACCCACAGTGGTCACTATGAGTCAGCACTGACTCGATAGCAGTGAGCATGGTTTTTGAAAGGGACATGGTGTTACAACTATGGTTGAATTTGAATTGTGGTGAAGTATATATTGAAAGTACCATGGACTGCTAAAAGGACAAAGCAATCTGTCTTGGAAGAAGTACATCCAGAATGCTCATTAAAGGCAAGCATGGCAGGACTTCATCTTACATGCTTTGGACATGCTGTCAAGAGAGACTCGTCCCTGGAGAAGGGCACCATGCTTGGTAGAGGGGCAGTGAAAAAAAAGGAGGCCGTCAAGAAGATGGAGTGACACAGTGGCTGCAGCAATGAGCTCAAGTTCAGGAACCATGGTGAGGACGGCGCAGGGCCAGGCAGTGTTTGTTCCGTTCTGCTGTGCACAGGGTCACTCAAGACCCGAACCAGCTCAAAGATACCTAACAAGGGCATGGTAGGGCAGGTTGGGGGAACACGGAGAGTTAACGAGTACAAGAAGAAAATGCTCTGAATGTTCTTAATATCACTGAAAGACTAAATGGTCTGATACATGAAGTATATGCCAATAAGACATTTTTTTTTAAAAAAGGGAAGAAGACTCTCAATGAGATGGGTTGACACAATGGCTGGCAGCAGCGGGCTGAAACATAACAATTGCGACATGATGCACGATCAGGCATTGTTTCATTCTGCTGACGTGGGGTCGCCGTGTGTCTGGGAATGACTTGACAACCCCTAACAACCACAACAACAGGGAAATAAATGTTAATGAAATATACAGTTTGTCCATTATAGCTGAAACGAAGTTCTGCACTTACCTTACTGCACTGAATATAACTGCATTCGATACCATTATTAATCAGGCGAGTCTCTGTTAAAGGGAAAGCTTGCGTATGGCACTAACACCTCTGAAGTGAATCTGAGCTGGCTCCTTGTAAGGAAATTACTTCTTGGGAGAAAACTAAGCAAATAAATAGATCAAAAGTAGCTTTCATCAGCTTTACATATAGTAATAGCCTGTGTATCAGGCACTTTCTAATGACAGGTTTCAAATGCCCATTATGAAGGTGCAAAACTAAAGAAATTCAGAGAGCTCCAATTTCCGTGTTTTCATTAGAAAGAACAGTCAAATAAACTACCAGCTACAAGTAAAAAAAGAGCCTTGGATCATCCAAGGGTGAGGTAGTTGTCAATTTAGATTTTTACTAAGTTTTGTTTTGTTTTTCAAATGTAGAGCCATAGCTGTGTCAAGAATTCAGAAGGCAGTAAAAATGCTATCCAATGTCATCCCTTGTGTCAACCTTTCTCAACCTCTAACGGTCAATCTAATCACTTCACAGAGTTGTATTTAAACTAAACTAACAGCGTGAAAGTACTTTGCAAATTAGGTGCACCAAAAGAGATACTCTGTTACTGAATTACTTACAATTTTTCCCGTTCTATATACATCAATTGCTCTAGTGGCATAGTGGGTACATGTTAGGCTGCTAACTACAAGGTCAGCAGTTTGAAACTACCAGCTTCTCCAAGGGAAAAAGAAAAGATTTTCTACTCCCATAAAAAGTTACAGTGTCAGAAACTCACAGGGGCATTTCTAGCCTGTCCTACAGGGTCACTGAAGGTTAGAATCGACTGATGGCAGGGAGTTTATAGGAGTGCTGGTGGTTACAAACTGGCCTGCTAACCCCAAGGCAGTAGTTGGAAACCAGGATTGGCTCCGCAGGAGAAAGATGATACTTTCTACTCCCATAGAGAGTTACAGTCTCAGAAACCTACTTGGATAGTTCTACCCTGTCCTATAGGGTTGCTATGAATCAGCATCAACTTGATGGCAGCGAGGCTGTCTGGTTTGTTTTATGCACATATAGGCAATTTACTTTTTTAAAAAATGGGTTACCGTATATACTCGAGTATAAGCCAACCCGAATATCTGACAAGGCACCTAATTTTATCACAAAAACTGCATTAAAAATGTGCTGGAAAACGGCTTATACTCAAGTATATACGCTATATTTGTTTCTACATACTTCTAGTTTTAACCAGTGGTAATGTGATTAAGGAGCCTTGCTTGCATAGTGGTTACATGTGGAGCTGCTACCTGTAAATTATGAGCAGTTTAGAAACACCAGCTGCTCTATTGGAGGATGGGGCTTTCTACTCCCATAAAGAGTTACAGTCTCAGAAACTCACAAGGGCAGTTTTACCTATAGCATCATTATGAATCAGTCAGTATCCACTTGTTGGCAAATTAATGTGATTATATTGTATTATAGTACATACATACCAATATTACTATATATACATACATGTGTATATGTATATATGTGTGTGTATCTATCTATCTACATAAATATATATATATATATATAGAGAGAGAGAGAGAGAGAGCGCGCGCGAGCAGGGCTTCAAACAGTTTTTGGAAAGAGGGAATTGAAAGATAATGATAATTTCCCACAAACTTTTTGAAGTCTCCATGTGTATTTATGCCTTTTAAGCAATTACAACCTTAAAAATTGTTTCATGCACATTTACAAGAACTCATATATCTAAGGTACCTGAGGTATCAGTTATAGCAGAAGTCCCCAGTGGTGATCAAATGAAGTTACTTTTAATTTCCACATTTTTTTCTAGCTAAGAACTACTTAGCTATTCTGTGTGAGAGGATAGATAGGGAAGAGACTGCTGATGTTTTCAGAGAACAGAAAGGTCAACTGCATGTTTCAACAAAACCCAGGGCTCCCAGGTCGAGATTTACTCTCATAGCGTGCCATTTATGTTGGGACTTCAACAGTTCAATTTCTGCCAGTCGTTTTTCTTATATCAGAGTACCAAAAGGAGGCCCTCGGGGCCCAAACAATGAGGAAAAAGATCACTTCAATTTGCAAAGGGGCTGATCTGTTTAGTATTACAGGGGATAAACAACAGAAATAACCTACTTGCGATGTCAAAATACCTCCATCTTGAAAATGATCTCCAAAGGCAATGTGGACTTGAGTCTCAAAGTCTGGCTTTTCACAGTCGGCACCTGTCTAGACCAAGCAGTGCTGCTTGCTTTTCTTCAACAGCACAGCCTCGGGATTCAAGCCCAAGCAGTTGCTACTTGAGCCCAGGATGCTAGTTCCATTCTGCCACCATATCTGTGAGCCCACTTGCTCTCTCAGGTCCTCTGTAAAAGACAATTTCTGTAAAATTACAATTTCTTTCAATCCTTCCACCACCACCTTTCTCTGATCCAGAGTTGGAGAATAGAAAAAAGTTCCAAAAGATAAATGCCAAAGGTTAGAAACAGGACTGGGAAAAGTACACCTGCACTTTTCCCAGGGTACAATTCTAGAGACGAAATTCTTTTCAAGTATGTATTACTTTAACAACAAAAACAAAAACCAGGGATTACTGCCTCTCTTGAGAAACATAGATTAGATTTTAATACTCTGTGATTTAAAATTTGTTTCTAGTCCCATTCTCACCTACCACCTCTAGTTATCTCTTGGCAGTGAAGATTAAATGGGGAGACACCCACAAGGAAACTCTGTCAATTGAGTTGCTAAAGTTCCTTGAGCTTCTTTCAAGCAGTAACTATGTGTTACTCACTGGAGCAATGGGTCAGGTCTTACATACACACCAAACTCACTGTGTCACATCGATTCCAATTCACAGTGACTTTATAAAACAGAGTAGGACTGGGGCTGTAACTCTTTACAGGAGTAGAAAGTCTCGTTTTTCTCCTGAGGAGTGACTGGTGGTTTCAAACTGCTCTCCTTGCAGGTAGCAGCCCAATGACTAACCCACTACGCCAGCAGGACCTCTAAATGCTGTTTGCTTGAAATCCAGAAACAAGGTTATATAAAACATCATCTCTAGTCTAGTTCTAAGAGACTGTCCAATATGAAAAATAAGAAGTTCCTAGTACTAAATCTATTCTTATCTGCTTGCGATTTACCAAAAACAGATTTTGGCAACTGCGTGATATAATTGATAGAATCCTGAAGAGGAACGAGCTTCTAGCTTTGGTTTTGCTACCGCTTAACTAGCTAAGTCATGTTGAGGAACAGTTTAATATACTGAAGAAGCAGAAGTTTTGGAGCCAGACAACTGTGTACTTATGAAAAGTCTGGATCTTTGCCTCCTGATAAATATTGGGAAAAGCTGAAAATTAGTCTGAACAGCTCAAACTGCAACTTTTTTGGTTAAAAAAAAGGCTTGCTTTAAGGAATTTATGTGATAAGGTAAAGTATTCAGCATATTGCTTGGCACATCCTGTAGGCTCTCAATAAATGGAAGTTATATCGGGTAGTGTTTCATTCACTGTAAGTTGGAACCGATTCAAAGGCACCTAACAACAATCTCGACTAATATTATCTATCACTGCCAAGGAACCAGCGAAACCACGATAAAATGTAGTCATGCCTTTCCTATAACTGCACTATGCAACATCTCTAATTCTTACAACTGTGGGTGCACCCTAAGCAGAGAGGGCAAACTTGGGCACACTGCAACACAGAAAACCAGTGTTTATCTGAATCTGATAAAAAAGTATAGAGAACTAACCTCCAACTAAAACAAGTACCATTTACCTCTCGAGTCCTTTCCAAAAGGTTCGGAGAAACAAAACAAAACATAGAAAAATAAAAGCAGCACAGGAAATTCCAGAGGAACCAGAAAAGAAACTCAGTGTCATTCTACCCAAATTCCTGTAGAAATCTGAAGGCCACATGACCTGTGCAGACTTTGCTATCCAAAAAGCTTCTATATAATTCTCATCATTTAAGGTAGTGTGCTTCTATTATAATTCTCGTCATTTAAGGTAGTGTGAGCTACAAAACAAATGCACAAGCGTATTGTGTGTGAACACTGAAACTTGAAAAAACTTTCAGGTCAACTGAAAAGCTAAGCAGCTTGACTTTATAAAGGTCCTTTCACCACAGCACTTCAAGCAAAGGCTAGCAATTTGCTCATCTCCACACCCAAAGGCAAACTGCACCGGAGTTAGGCTTACGTCAATGTACCATATACTTACTAACTTTACATTCCCATGAAGGGTATCAGTCACTTAGAAACAGCCTGATACAGAATGTAGGAATTCTGGTTTGACAAAGCTCCAAAGGCAGAAACAGAGGAAACAAAGCCAAGTGAGATACAGACGACCATTTCAAAAAAGTTCTTTGCCCTTGATGTACAAAAGTATCTTTGAAGATCATGAGGAAGACTTCAGGAAGATTTTTTTTTTAAGTTCATCAAGGGTGAATTGTGAAGTGGACCTGTGCCAGGGCATCATTAAAAGCTTAATGCTGTCTTGGCCTTGGACGTGCTATGAGAAAATCTATCCTTTCTTAGGAATAGGGAGACCCCCAGGAACTGCGAACCCAAGTACCAATATGTCCCGGGAGGTCAACTTTCTGCCCCCCAAATAAAAGTTTGTGACTATCTGGTAAAGTTATGCATAGCCGATGATTCAACAACTCTATAACTAGTCCAAGGCATGTATGCGCCTTAGAGAAAATCCTGCACATATGCACTAGGGTCCAGATATGAGAATGGTCACCCCACTGTTGCAAACAGCACCAGGCTGAAAACAAAAAGTCTTATCAACAGTTGAGTGGATACATTGCAACATTCCCACGATGCACTATCAGACGGTAATGTACATTACCTAGAGACACCCATACATTTAATAACAATTGAAAGTCCCAAATCCAAAATACGAGTCCATTAATAAAAGTTCAAAACCAGGCAAAGTAAAATTCTATGGGTTAGGCATTCACACATCAAAGGCCCCGCCCGCTATGAAGAAATGCAAGAAAAGGGTGATCACAAAAGTCAAGATAAGGAGGGCACTGCTCCCAGAAAGGAGCACGGGAGTGGGTGGGGGGCTGAGAGGCCGGCATTGCTTTTTGCTTTTGAAAAATCTGGGTGATTGACTAATTAAAAAAAACATATGTATGCTGTATGTTCACTTTTCTATATACGAGGGGGCTTCAAAAATTTCGTGACAAAACGGAATGAAAAGACAGAATACGTCGCCTAGTTAAAGAATAGGCAAACCTCTCAGACTCACTCCTCTAAAAAGGTCCCCTCGAAACATGGCACCAGGGCAACACAGGCCCTAGGAACTAGCGGCGCCCTTCAGGGCCAGCAGCTGGCGCCCAGCAGCTCCTACTTTTCAAGTTTGATGGGGCCGAGGCTCCAAAGGACCCGAAGGAACGGCAGGCTGCGCTCCGCCGGCCAAGCCC